CTGGTGTGAGTGAGTGGACGTGGAGGACAGGCAGGCCTGGTGTGAGTGGACGTGGAGGACAGGCAGGCCTGGTGTGAGTGAGTGGACGTGGAGGAGGACAGGCAGGCCTGGTGTGAGTGAGTGGACGTGGAGAACAGGCAGGCCTGGTGTGAGTGACACTGGTTGGGTTGTGGGTGGCCTTGCCCCAGTGTTGGCCCCTGGGGTGGGGCATCTGTAGGAGGAGGGGGAAGGCTCAGCTCCCTCAGTCTCCCAGGTCCGGGTCTCAGGCCTGGGCTCTGGGTGGCAGGCTGTGTCCAGCACCGCCTCTGCATGCCGGCTGCTCACCTGGTGTTTGGGGTGGGGATGTCTCACAGAGTTGGAAGACACGCCGCTGACCGTGAAGAGTGACATGAGTGCCATAGTGCGAGTCATGCAGTTGCCTGACTCAGGACTGGAGATTCGTGATCGCATGTGGCTCAAGATCACCATCGCTAATGCCGTGATTGGTGAGCTCATGCCTGTGGGGTCTGGCTCACCGCCCGGTGGCCCGGGCCCGCCAGGCTGACACGGTGGGGGTGTGGCCAGGGGCAGACGTGGTGGACTGGCTGTACACACACGTGGAGGGCTTCAAGGAGCGGCGGGAGGCCAGGAAGTACGCCAGCAGCATGCTGAAGCATGGCTTCCTGCGGCACACGGTCAACAAGATCACCTTCTCCGAGCAGTGCTACTATGTCTTCGGGGACCTGTGCAGCAGTGAGTGAGGGCGGAGGGCGGGGGCGCCCAGGGGCCCATCCGGCCGCCCTCACCCAACCTCTGCTCCCTCCCCCAGATCTGGCAGCCCTGAACCTCAACAGTGGCTCCAGTGGAGCCTCAGATCAGGACACCCTGGCCCCGTTGCCCCACCCGTCTGCGCCCTGGCCCCTAGGTCAGGGCTACCCCTACCAGTACCCAGGGCCCCCGCCCTGCTTCCCACCCGCCTACCAGGACCCTGGCTTCAGCTATGGCAGCGGCAGCGCCGGAAGTCAGCAGAGTGAAGGTGAGCATCTCACCAGCTCTGCTCAGCCCCCGCTCCCGGCTCTGCTGCCTTGCTGTCGCCCCCTGTGCTCTCGCTGTGTGCTTGGGCCCTGTGCTTGGGCCCTGCGTGGCTCCCTCCAGAGGGCAGAGGTTGAGGCAGGCAGGAGTGGATTGGTGGGGAGAGCCTCAGCGGAAAGGGAGGCTGGGCGGGGCAGGCGCACAGGATGAGGAGGTGGGTACAGGAGTGGGTGGGAGGGAGGCTGAGGTGTCCAGCAGGCCGCTTTCCAGCCCAGCCGCACTCCCCAGGGCCTGGGCCCGGCTGGGAGCCAGGTGAGGAAGGTAGACGGGGCTCAGGGTCCCTGGAGAGCCGGGACGAGGGGAGCCTCCGGGTGGGACATGTCGGAGCAGAGGCCCGAGCCCAAGTGGGGTACAGTGGGTGCAGTGGTGCAGTGGGTGCAGAGATGCCAGTGGGTGCAGTGATGCCAGTGGGTGCAGAGATGCCAGTGGGTGCAGAGGTGCCAGTGGGTGCAGAGATGCCAGTGGGTGCAGTGGGTGCAGTGGGTGCAGAGGTGCCAGTGGGTGCAGTGGGCGCAGTGGGTGCAGAGGTGCCAGTGGGTGCAGTGGGTGCAGAGATGCCAGTGGGTGCAGTGATGCTAGTGGGTGCAGTGGGTGCAGAGATGCCAGTGGGTGCAGTGGGTGCAGAGATGCCAGTGGGTGCAGTGGGTGCAGAGATGCCAGTGGGTGCAGAGGTGCCAGTGGGTGCGGTGGGTGCAGTGGGTGCAGAGGTGCCAGCGGGTGCAGAGATGCCAGTGGGTGCAGAGATGCCAGTGGGTGCAGAGGTGCCAGTGGGTGCAGAGATGCCAGTGGGTGCAGAGATGGCAGTGGGTGCAGTGGGTGCAGAGATGGCAGTGGGTGCAGTGGGTGCAGAGATTGCAGTGGGTGCAGAGATGCCAGTGGGTGCAGTGGGTGCAGAGATGCCAGTGGGTGCAGTGGTGCAGTGGGTGCAGAGATGCCAGTGGGTGCAGTGGGTGCAGAGGTGCCAGTGGGTGCAGAAGTGCCAGTGGGTGCAGTGGGTGCAGAGGTGCCAGTGGGTGCAGAGATGCCAGTGGGTGCAGAGGTGCCAGTGGGTGCAGAGATGCCAGTGGGTGCAGTGGTGCAGTGGGTGCAGAGATGCCAGTGGGTGCAGTGGGTGCAGTGGGTGCAGAGATGCCAGTGGGTGCAGAGATGCCAGTGGGTGCAGAGATGCCAGTGGGTGCAGTGGGTGCAGAGGTGCCAGTGGGTGCAGAGATGCCAGTGGGTGCAGTGGGTGCAGAGGTGCCA